AGGAACTGCACCCCTCCCCAACAGGTGTTCAGGCTTAAGGGGATTAGAGCCAGGAAGCACTTCTCCCAGGGGACATGGGGACTCTGGCTACGTCACATAGCTGGTGGGGGGGCACTGGTCTATTGCTTGCTCTTTGTTGCAGCCTCCCCCACCCCCGAGTCCTTCCATGGTGGCCTCCCAAGTGATCATGTCTGGCTTAGGTTGCCCCTCCTCTGAGGAGACTTACCCGTCAACAACATAGACCATGCTTTGGGGGCAGGGAGAGGAAACTGAGGCTAGCATTTGCTACCAGAGACAAGCTTTGTCTCCTGTGGTTCGAATTCACAGGAGGTCACTTGCTCATCCTTATTCACAGGGGGTAGAGTTACAATTCCTGAAACCAGGCAGAACAGTCCATGACAAAAAAACAAAACAAAAACCCTTGCTCCCATCCTATCTCTCTCTTTTCCTTCAAAGGCAAATTTCCTGCAAAGGTTAGTCCAATGAACTCTCTTCTTTCTTTACTTCCCACTCCCTCTTGAATCAGGTTTCTGCCCTTATCACTCCATGGTAAATGTTGTCAATTAAGCCTGGAGTGGACAAGACAAATTGGCTCTTTCTTTCCTCCTTTTGCTGGTCCTCCCCGAGCCATTTGATCTGCAGGCCATTCTGGGCGCATCTCTCCTCTTTGCCGTTAATCTCAGCTCGTTCTGGGCGCCCTTTAATATCTCCCTGTGGCTCTCATCTCCTAAATGTCAGCATCCCTGGGTTAATTCTGTACTCCACTCTTCTCACTCTGTGTGCTTGCCCTGGGTGATCTCATCTGTGATCATGATGTCAATTACCAGGGTCTTATTGAAAATTCACACGCCTTTAGCTCCTGTTCATACTTCTCTTCTAAATTCTAGACCCATATCCCATGTGAAATATCCCCTAGACAACTCCACTTAAATGTCCCTCAGCAACCTAGGATTCAGCCTTGCCCTAACAGAATTTATATATTTTCAGCCAAACTTCTCCTTTCTTCTTCTTCTTTGAGAATATCATCACCATCCTAGATCCCAGCCTCTTTTTTTTTTTAATTTTTAAATTATTTTTATTGATTATGCTGTTACAGTTGTTCTATTCCCCCCTTCATTCCCCTCCACCCTACTCCCCCGTCCCCACCATTACCCCCCCCTTTAGTTTATCTCCATGTGTCTCAAGTTCTTTAGATTCTATATTTCCCATGCTATTCTTGCCCCCCATCTATTTTCTATCTACTGTCTATGCTACTTATTTTCTGTACCTTCTCCCCCCTTCTCCTCCTCCCACTCCCCTGTTGCTAACCCTCCTTGAGATCTTCATTTCTATGTTTCCACTCCTGATCTAGCTGTCCTTTTAGTTTGCTTTCGTTTTAGGTGTGGTTGTTAATAACTGTGAGTTTGTTGTCCTTTCACTGTTCATGCTTCTTTAACTTCTTTTTCTTAGATAAGTCCCTTTAACGTTTCATATAATAAGGGCTTGGTAATGATGAACTCCTTGAATTTGGTCTTATCTGAGAAGCACTTTATCTGTCCTTCCATTCTAAATGAAAGTTTTGCTGGATAGAGCAATCTTGGTTGTAGGTCTTTAGATTTCATGACTTGGAATACCTCTTTCCAGCCCCTTCTTGCCTGTAAGGTCTCTTTTGAGAAATCCGCTGACAGTCTGATGGGGACTCCTTTGTAGGTGACTGTCCCCTTAGCTCTTGCTGCTTCTAGGATTCTCTCCTTCATTTTAATTTTGGCTAATGTAATGATGATGTGCCTTGGTGTGTTCCTTCTTGGGTCCAACTTCTTTGGGACTCTCTGAGCTTCCTGGATTTCCTGGAAGTCTATTTCCTTTGCCAGATTGGGGAAATTCTCCTTTATTATTTGTTCAAATAAGTTTTCCACTGGTGGCTGTGCCTTTCCCCCTTCTGGTACCCCTATAATTCGGATGTTGGAGCATTTAAAGATGTCCTGGAGGTTCCTAAGACTCTCCTCATTTCTTTGAATTCTTGCTTCTTGACTCTTTTCTGTTTGGCCATTATTTGCTTTCTTCTGGTCCACTCCATTGATTTGAGTCCCAGTTTCCTTTTCATTGCTATTGGTGTCCTGTGCAATTCCATTCATTTCAATTAGTTTCGCCTTCATATATTTGTCTAATTTGTCGGTATAATCAACCAGTTCTGTGAGGATCCTGATCACCAATGTTTTAAACTGTGCGTCTGTGAGTTTTGCTATTTCTTCATCACTTAGATTTATAGGCTCTGAGGCTCTGAGATCCTCCTGTGCCATTCTTGGTCTGTTCGGGCTCTTTAAGTGTGAGGAGCGGAGCCTTGGACTCCCAGGTCACTGGGTTGTGACGCTGTATGTGGGGGCGTGGTCAGAGCGGGGAAATGGCGACCCCCTCTGCTGTTTCTCACAGCTGGGTGAGGAGCAGTGCCTTAGGTGGTTCACCTGGGCCGGGCCGCTCAGAGTCGCTGGGTTACAATGCTATATGTGGAGGTGGGGTCAGAGCAGGGAAATGGCGGTGCCCTCCACTGCCGCTTGCCGTGGGGACCTGCCGGCCCGGTCCAACCGCCCACTCCCTCGCCTGTCCATCCACGCACCAATGTGCGGCCACAGTCAACCCACAGCCCTGCTCCCTCGCTGCTTCCCCGCGGTTGCTCGCTTGGTCGCTCTATTGGTCGCTTGATCGGTCTCTCACTAGGTCCAACCCTGCGCCTGCATTCTACGTGCCTGAGTCCGTCTGTCCGAGTTTTCCTGTGCAACCCCGCTCTACCAGCTGCTGGTTTCGCCCCTCTTACCGGTCAGGCTGAAGAATTTGTTGTTAACAGACTTCCGAAAAGTTCAATTTTCTGTGTTCTGGCTGTGTTTTCTGTTGCTAATATTTAGTTGTCTCTAAACTTGGTTGTGTGAGAAGGCACGGCATCTCCACCTATGCCTCCATCTTGGCGGAAGTCCCTCGATCCCAGCCTCTTTCCCCCATTTCTAGTCAATCATCAACTCTAGCAAGATGGATTTTTGGTCACTAGAATCCCATTGCAGCTGAGGGATGGAGACTGGTTCAGCAGAGCTGCTGTCCGGAAGAGATGTGGTGGCCTGAGGGGCTAAGTACTGCAGGGAGGACTGCGTGGTAGGAATGGCACTTACTAGGGAGCTGGCCCAGTGGCGGCAGGGTGGTTATGGGCGATGCTTCCAATCTTGGGTAAACTTAACTGAATTTTAACTGAGTTAAACTCAGCACTTAACCAAGTGCTGAGGTGCTTTGGGTTCTTGAAGATAAAGGAACAGAGCTTGCCTGTGTCTGAACAGATCTGAACAGAGACAGCTCAGCGAGGAATAGGCAGAGAGAGAAATAGTGAGATTCAGAAGTGGGAGGGCCAAGTGCTTCTCTCAAGGGTAAGGAGGAGCCTGGTGAGACTGGGTTATACGCGTCCCATTCGCAGGTTCTACAGTCCCTCTGCCATGTCTGCTGTGGGATCCTCTTTTCTTCGGTAACCTCCAGGCTACGGCCTAACCCCCCAGTCTTGTCCAAAAAGCAAACCTTATTAAGCTACCAGCTCTTCTAACTTTTGGGCATCAAGTTAAAAATTCTTTAGCTCCTCACACAAGGTCCTCCTCACACATATCAGGACATGGTCCCTATGCTCTCTGGCCCCATGTCTTGCTACTGCCCACACATTCTTCTTGCTTTCACATTCAGACCTTTAAATGTATCGGGCCTCATGCTCAGTGATTGGGGTATGCGTCCCACTCTTTCTTCCCCAACTGCATTCATTCTGCCATTGCTACTTTTCTTTCAATATTCAGTTTGAGCACCATTTCCCAGAAGCCTTTTACACCCCAGTCTGATTTTCTCGGGGCTATTGTGGCATCCTGCATATAACATGAAAATACTGTTTACCGCATCTCACTGTGATCGGGAAACCTGCCTCTCTTCCCCAATAGACTGGGCACTTCTCGAAGGCAGATCTTGTTCTATCTGGCTTTCCATCCCCATTATTCAGCTCATGAACAGCACTCGATGTTCCTAAATGAATACATAAACCATTATTAACCACGAAAGTTTTAAGGTGAAGCAGTATGCTATCTCACCTATAAACCTTTTAACATTTAAACAGCAGACCATTAGCTGTGTCACTTCACATGCTAACCATGCATCTCATTCCTGAAGGTGAACGCAGCGTGGCTGGCCTATTTACCAGTGGAAAAATCCGAACATTCAGGAATGCAGTTCCAGGAATTATCAGCCCACAGACGGATCTCAAGCAGCCTGTTATTATCTGCAGAACCCACCAGGCCAGCATCCGTCTCTCGACCTTGACATACGTGATACTGAGAGCCACTAGAAGAGGTGGGAAGAAAGACATTCACGGTAATCTCTTTTGTCTTTAGGTTGAGTGCATGGGGTGTTGTGTTGGTTTAGGTGGGTGTGTTTTGTGTGTGCATGTGCGCAAGGGGATAGGGAGGTGGCAACGTGTGTATCGCTTCAGAGGTGGATTTCCTGACCTCCTTCACTAGGGGACATTCGTCTCCCCATCCCCTCTGAGCACCTTATTCTCTCCCTAGCACCCCTTACAGCTTTACTTGCATTCGTGTCATTACTACTTGTCTGCCCTCGCTGGCTTGTAAACGAGGGTGGGCATTCCTGTTCACCCCGCCAATCCCCACCCCCCCCAACAGGATGCCTGAGGCATCACAGCTATTCCCCAAAGACTTTCCCGGGGAGCGTTTCTGGGCGGGACCCGGTGGACCCCGACCAGCGTGAACGCCCCACCCACCAGCGCGGCAAGGCGGGGCGGGCGCAGCGGGCGCTCTCGCGGGGACAGTTCCCGGCTCGCGCGGGAGGGGGAGGTCGGGAGGGGACAGGCGCGGTGCGAGGCTGCAGCCGGGCCAATGGTCGCGGGCTGGGCGGTGCTCGCAGCCGGCAGCCGGGGCACGAGCGGGAGGGCTGGGCGTGCCCACGGGTGACGCGCTGGGCCTCGCAGGCCAATGGGCGCGGGGCGGGCGGGCCTCCAGGCCCGGGGCTTCAGGACGCGGACCGGAGGCCTGGGGGACAGACTGACGTGGGGCCGCAGCGCAGGAGGCACGCGGCGGGGATGGCGCTGGCGCGGGCCTGGAAGCAGATGTCCTGGTTCTACTACCAGTACCTGCTGGTCACGTCGCTCTACATGCTGGAGCCCTGGGAGCGGACGGTGTTCAGTATCCTGCCCGGGGCGCGGGCGCCGGGGCGCAAGGGCCGAGGGGGCGTCCCCGGGGCGCGAGGCCTGTGGGGCGCAGGGAGGGGGCGTCTCTGCGGGACCCGCGCGCCGGTGGACTCACCTCTTCGCTGCGGCCAGGCGGGGGCGGAGGTCCTGGGGCCGAGGGCGGCGTTCCCGCGGGGCGCGCGGGGTTGGAGGGAGAGAACTCATGAGATCCATGGGCGTCCCTGAGTCCCTGGACCCGAGGGAGAAGCGCCTTTGGGGCTGGAAGAAACCCCCTTGGGTGATGTCCAACCTGGCGGCCCGCCTGGCGTTGGGTCCCCAGTTCCTGTGGGAGGCAGGGGCAGTGAAAGTGGAAAAAATCGCTCCCGGCTTGGACGCCTTTGACCTTTAACTGCTCCCCCCCCCTTTAACTGGCACTGGCCCCAATTAGAAATGCTAACCAGTTTTCTAGCTTTTTAATCAGGTTGTGCCTAATACAGTTTTTGAAAGCAGTTCGTTATTGTACCTCTTTGGTCTGCAAAACGGGTAGTTTAAGACATGTTTTATGCACTAATTTGCTGTTTGCACAGGCCGTGGAAGGAGGGCCTGAAAAGGAATCTGTGGTTAGTTGTAGACAGTGTTTGAAACTGCTTTCGTATATAGCTAGTGCATACTCGTTAATGATTATTGAGTGTTTACCATGAACCAAGCGATTGTGCCAAGTGCTTTGCTTGTGTCTTAACTCATCTAACTTTCCTAACAACCTCTGCTAGTAAGTCAAGCTTCTGAAGATGGGCTCCCCAAAGTCTGTGCTGTTGGTCTCTCCTTTGTCCACGTTTACGTCCGTTGATATTCTTGCAGGAGAAATACTAATCATGAGATGTAACTTTTTAAAAAAAATAACTTGACTGATTTGAAACAAGCATTTCATACAGCCTGCTTACTTCATAAAGGGTCTCTCCTTTTCAATATGCTTCCGTTTGCAGTAGCTTCTGAACGACTTTGCAAATGTATAGCTGCATTCTGGTCAAGTGACTGAGGTAATTCCAAGCCCTAGTTAAGTGTGTTTGTGTTGAACTAGCCTAAGACTGTGATCAAAGCCCAGCCTGTGTTTCAGTACTTTTGAGGAAGCTTAGCTGCTTACGAGTTTATTTTTATTACTATTGGCTTTCTTTCCAAACCTGAAACTTAAGAACTGACAGGTGTATTTCAGATTTAATGTCTGAATGGAAAGTGTTGTCTGATTTCCGCACCGTTTATTTCGTAGCTGTAGTTTAGGCTCACTCTCAGTTCCGAGGGTCAGAGCTCATGAGGTCATCCTTGTGAAAGGTGCGCCGCCGTGCAGAAGCACAGGCACCGGGGACTCAGACTCATCTTAACGGTGAACTGAAACGATGTGCTAAACTGGAACTCTTGATATCAGAAGTTGAACGTGGAGCCCCCTCTCAGAGTCCCCCGCAGTGACCCCTCCTCCATGCTTTGCTCTGTGGGGTTTCAGTTCCCTGTGGTTGACCCTGGCTCAAAAATAGGAAGTCAGACTTTCCAGAAATAAGCAATTTATAAGTTTTAGATTGGGCGCTGTGCGGGATGAAATCTCACACAAAGATTGACCTGCCTGGGGTGTGTGCACTTGTCCGTTTGTCTGGTGTATCCAGTGCATATGTTACCTGTTCTTAGCAGCCATTTTGGTTATCAGAGAGGAAGGGAGGGAGAGACAGACAGACAGACAGAATATATTCATATAACCGATTACAGAATCTTGCTATAATCATTCCATATTGTTATTAATTATTGTCATTATTTTCTGTGCCTAATTTATAAATTGCACTTTATCATAGGTGTGTATGTACAGGTAGAAACAATATACATATAGGGTTCAGTAGTGCGGTTTCAGGGATCCACTGGGGGTCTTGGAATGTACCTCCGTGGATAAGGGGGGACTACTTAGAGGTTTTACACTTAGAAGCTTTTGTGGGCATGTGGCTAAATGCTACGGTATCAGTGGTGTTACGGTTTTTCTGTATTATGTTGCAATAGTAATAGTGTCCCGTATATACCTAGGTGATGGCTTTGTTTGGGATGCAGAAATAAATTGTGAAATGAAATGTAGTGTGTCTTTAGATTTTTGCCTTTGAAGCTTTTGACTTCTCATTGGATTACGTGACCAAGAGACTTCAATTTTTAAAGTACTACTGAGAACTACAACCTACTAGCATTGGATACTGTAGAATAATATGGTTTCAAACCTAAGATGAAAAAAAAGTTTATTTCAAAGTTTACATTATTAAATTAACCCAGTGTAGCCTTGGCTAGTGTGGCTCACTTGGTTGGAACATTGACCTGTAAACTAAAAAGTCACAAGTTCAGTTCCTGTTCAGAGCATGTGCCTAGGTTGGGGTTCATCCCTGGTAGGGGGCTCCAGTAGGGGCGCTTGAATGAGAGCAATAGATGGATGTTTATCTCCCTCTCCTCGAAAGCAATAAGCATGTCCTTGAGTGAGGATAAAAAACCAAAAAGTTAACCCAAAGTAGAAGTGCAATTCTTTGACATAAATCAATCTTAAATTAGTATTAGCTATTGTATTTATATTACTCAACTCGACTTCTAGAGTTATTTTGAAGTCAGACATTCAGTTTTAAAGTTTGGAACATCTATTTGAGATAGACTCCTCATTCTAGCTTGGAGGAAAGAGTGAAAAAGCTGGGTTTTCTTCCTACTTAGTGGGGAGTCTTAATTACTCTGAAGCAGTTTGAATTTTATAAATTCACTAATAATTGGTAAGCATCATGCAAAACTGTTTTGTGGCCAGTTACATTGTTTTGGAAAGAGTCTTAAAAATTACACTGGCCCTGGTTGGTGTGGCCCAGTGGATTGAGCACGGGTCTGTGGGCCACGGGCTGTGTTCCAAGTCAGGCACATGCCTGTGTTGTGGGCTAGGTCCTTGGTTGGAGGTGTGTGAGAGGCAATCTTTCGATGTTTCTTTCTCTCTTTCTCCCTGCCTTCCCCTCTCTCCAAAAATAAATATATAAAACCTTTTTAAAAAATATTTTACTTATTTATCTTTAGAGGGGAAGGGAAGGAGAGAGGGAGAGAAATATCAATGGATGCTTGCCTCTCATGTGTCCCCTGCTGGGGAACTGGCCTGCAGCCCAGGCATGTGCCCTGACTGGGAATCAAACTGTGAGCCTTTGGTTCACAGGCCTGCACGCAATCCACTGAGCTACACCAGCTAGGGCAAACCTTTTAAAAATTACATTGAACACAATCATCACTTAACTAGAAACCTAAAATTTAGTGTAAGAAACTTGTCTGGCTGTCTGAAAAATGGCTTCTGAGTTAGGAGTCTTGGGCAGAGAAGACTCTAGAAGAAGGTAAATGCTTTAGTTTGCGTTTCACTGCTTTAACTCATTTAATAATTTGAAGTTGTCCTTATTTTAGGGAAAACTGATAACTATTTCCGCACCCTTTATAGGGTCATCCTTGAACGTCTGAATTTGCTTCTTTGTTTCTTCCCAAATCAAACATCTAGAAGTGAGTTTATAGCTGTTGTAAAAGGAAAGGTCAGTCTCTATTGAATATGTGGATTTCTGAAGTCATCTAAGTAAGGAAGTTGTGATTCATAAAAAAAGGTAATTTAAAATATTTTAAGGAAATGCATCTGTGTCAAGTCAGACACATTGTAAAACAGTTCTTGAAACAATAACATTTATAAATTCATTTTATGCTAGAACCTGCATCCTAAATTTTCTCTCGTCTTCTGATACCACATTTGAAATGATAATTAGCTTTTGGTTTGTCAACCAGTATTTAAACTTTCCTAATTTGTCTATCTTACAAAAAAAGTGCAACCTGACACCTGTGTTAAGACAGAAGCGCTAAGTTGTGTTACAATGAATCCATCTCAGAGGGGAAGTTTTTAATGTGTTTCAAAACCCCCCATTCCCTATTGGCAGCCATCAGTGCAAAGGAAAAGACCAGGTTTTGTAACCAGTGAGATGTTCCCTCAGTGCCTCATCCAATAACATTGTAACTGTGCTGTTGAGGACAGCTGGAGAAGTTAAAAGTACCTTGTTTAATTCAAAGCACAATAAAAGTCATTTTAGCCTTGTTTTTTTTAAATTAAAAAGTGAAGTTTTATTCTCTAATTGCTTAATTTTATTTGCCATCTCTTTACAGCTTCTTATGTTTCCATGGCATTTTATATTTCTATTTATTTTATTTTTTTAAATGTAGACAGTTTTAAGGTTATGAATTAGGTTCCCCCTGAAAAAATAGGCCTTGTTTCTTCGAGGAAAGAGTTTTAAAAATCACAGTGCTGGGCACACAAATAATGCTTGAGAAACATTTAAAATATATGTATATGTTTATATGGACATGTCATTTCAAAGCAGTTGTGTAACTATTTGGAAATGGTAAAAGAGACAGGATTTTAACCACTTTTAGAGTAGCTTTGGAGCTTGGCTGTTTGTGATGAACAGAATTCAGTTCTTGGAGAAAATTTAGATGTAAAGAAGTAGAAAAGGCTATAATTGAAAGAACTTCTTTAATTTTTTGGTGATGTTAAAAATTTGCGTTGTTTTGTCTGTTCCCTTGCTGAATTCTGCATGCCAGAAGCATGATATACCTTCTAAGTGCCAGATGCTATCTTCGATAGTAGAACTGTAATTGTGAGTAAAAGAGATAAAAGTATTTATTCTAATACCACTAGGTAAATAAGTTAAAAATATAGGTGATTAGATTGTCAAAGCTGTTTTGGAACAAAATAAAACAGAGAAGAGGGTAGGAAATAAGGAAGAAGTGTTCTTCAATTTTGGCTAGAGTGGCCAGGAAGGGGGCATTTAGAAAGATTTAGGCGAAGCACGACTTCCCAGGGAGTAAGTGCTGCAGGCGTGTTTCAGGGCTGCTGAGGGGCCTCGGGGGCTGCAGCAGAGTGAAGGGGCGGCGGTGGGGGGCGTAAGTAGCAGGAGAGGAGGTGGATCCTGTCTGGCCTCTCTGGCCTCTCGGGCTCTGAAGTGAGAG